GTAAAATGGAGTGGGATCTTGAAAGAGAATAAGGTCTTGTTCGCTGCGTTTACTTGGACGTTTCAACAGGCTGGTTCTGGCGCGGCGCCAGCCTTTTCTGCACCAGTTTCAGTCGCCAACCAGCTTCCACAACTGGAGGGGAAGAGGCTGGCGCCGCTTGCTTCTTCGCCTCCCAGTCTCCCTGAATCGCCCGCAGCAAACAAGACTGTGGAACAATTTTATTGCTTCCACAGTAGTGAAGGCTCTTCAGTCGAGGAGTCTTTTCTCCTGGGAAGTTGAGCGAATGGGAGGTGACGAGCAGTGAGCAAGCAGATGAAGTCGTTCTTCAAAGATGAATGGGGTTGCGCATAGGGTAACAGGCCCAACTAGTCAATCGCCTGGGATGAACCGCCCGTTCTATTTCCGTTCAGAAACACAGTGGCATCTTGAGTGAGGGACAAGTTCAGCAGAGTGCAACAACAAACACCAAGTAAATATTATCTTCATTAGAACGCGAAACTCTATACAGACTTTGTTTACTTCCATAGCGAAATAAACAACATTCACACGAGAAAGTAGAATTTTTGTACGATTTACATATTTACAAACAAGTACATCTGCAATTAAAAGCTGTTTTCTGAAGAACTTAGGTCAAAAAGCTAAGAGCCAATATCGACCACTATCACATGCACGATTTACTGCGGACAAACACTGAAACGAAAACACGAGAACATGACGAAATTCTAAGTGCGTGTGTGTAGGACCAAATGTGGTAGCGAATCAGGAGCGCTCAGTGGTGGGCAGGACCCGCGCAACGGGGCGGAGCTTCTCACAGCATGAGAAATCACGACAGCATAGACGACGGCGACACACTATTTACTCGCTTGGACTTCGAGGAGACGACGATACACCACTGCTTGAAGTTTCATTCTGGAATGAGAGTTATATTTTTCTGAATTTAGAATTCAGCACCAAAATGATCTAAATTTTTGCGGATTCCATAGATAAGGACTCCCATATGTATGGTCTTAATGGAGGAGCTCTGTCAAAATGATGCAGCTCTTCACAGCATTTGTTCAACTGAAGATACGTGCAAAGAGGCGGAATGCTTGAGACGCGTGCGGTCGCGTCGCGGTACTAGGACAAGTCGCCATTTGGCGATCAGAGTTTCTCTTTTCGAGGCTTGAGTACCCCATCCGAAAAATGTGTGTGCAAACGAGTTCCTGAAGTCAGCTAAGAGAAAGTTGAGTGCCATTGTACGGCAGCAGGCACCGTAAAACCTACTTTTCACGTACTTAATCATTCGAATTTTTAATGTCCGTACAGGTCTAATGGGGCCAAATTTTTTCTATAGCCAGCCGTTCACGGCCATTACCATAGAGTCATCGGGCCAAGTCAGTGGCACGTAGTTTGGCTCTACACGAGCCCGTTCTCCATATGTAGGTCCTAGCGCATCGGAGGATCAATCAGTGGTGGGAAAGGAGTTAGCGCAGCGCTGAAACCCACACGCCGCTGCCACGCTCTGAGTGATTTCAGTGATAATAACTGTGTTGATGCTGGCTTCAAGTCGAAGTCACAGTCTACAATGATCGTGTGGGCGGAGACGGTCAACCATCGTGTCTTCCTCATAAGCTCGCCCCTTTTGCTAGGCATTCAGGAGGGAAGGATGGATCAGTAAGGGTCGGATGCATCACAAAGAAGGTCCGAGGTTGACTGTCTCCGCCCACATAATCAGCGCAGACTAGCCTTCAAATGTTTGATCTGACTTGGTAGGTGTTGTCATGTGACAACACTTCCCAAGTCTCGCTATTTTCTTTGACTCAGAAAAAAAAACCAAACTGGTACGAAAGCAACTTACGAAGCTGTCATCGGCTCGGTCTACGGTTTTCATACGAAGCACGACAAATCGAATAGGAGAGCCGTTAGAGTCGCTGATAAGTTTTGTCAGCATTAACGCGGATTTGAACTGTTCTCCGGGACAATCGTTGATTTCCAGAAGACTGAAAACCAGAAGTGTTGAACTAAAGAAAGTTCTAGAAAAACTAGAGCTCTTACCAGTCATTCTCCCTCAGTGGCAGATTCACGCCGTTCACTTTGGTGATCTGAAGGCAACCAAGGCGACCATGAGTCACAATGATATCGCGGGTCGTCAAGGGGGTCTCGACAGCTAATACCTGTAGGGGAGATGAGTAAATAAAATGACCATCTCTAGAGCCTACAAAACAAAAGGATACCGTATACCTGATCGTATGTGCTCTGTTTGACGATATCGAACAGTGCACGGTGCCCATTTCTTTTCTCTGTCTCTTTCGCTTCTTCTGGACCACGTTCCCTGATCGCAGCCAATTCTTTCAAAATCTTCTCACGAATTGACGCACTTGTGACACCGAGTTGAGCTGAACACAAAACGAATCACGTTTCACGCGAAAACTCGTCCCTGTACGAGTTGTACTACTCACACAAACAGTCGTGATCCCACGTAAGTAGATCGGTTCCCCTGAGATCGTAGCCGATGAGAAGTGAGGCAACGTCGTCTAAACTGCATGCTTGCAGCCAAAGTAGGACGTCGTCAAGGGCCCAGTCCTATAAGTGAGCACATTGAGAAGATGACTGAGGGTGGCGGTCAAGACAATCGTAACTGCCGACGCGGTGATGATCGCGACGTTTTCTTAGGTTGCGTTAGTCTGTCGAGGAATACAGCAATTCATGAAGATTACGACATCCTGGACTTTTATGGCAATTTCAGGTTGTCCGAAGAATCGTCATTTGCGGGCGCGACGTCGCACGCGAAGCCTACCAGCGCGTGGATTTACGATTGTCTTGTCACATGCCCATAATTGAGAAACACCTTGTAACAGCTTATCTCTTTTGAAACAGTCGCCGCAATCTATCGGGGCGGTTCCAGAAACATGGAATGATCCCACCCGTGGCTTTCTCATCACTGGTTGTTTTCTTCCTGAATCGCTCACTGACCAATCACAAATGGTAGAAAAGAGTGCCGTGGCGGGCTCATTCCGCCGCTGCTGACCCCGCCCCGACTGACTGCGACGATATTAACTGCATATCGCTTGAGGTTGGGGAAGTATGGGGATCCTCAATTTCGTGGTGAGCATCCAGGCTGATACATGGTACCAACAAGCTTCAATGGCAAGCACACATCCGATCCCCTCCTGTGTCCCCCTACCTTAGATTCAAAACCCATTTGAGCTAGACCACATTCCAATTCCCATTTGGGACAGTTCCTCGTTACAGCACACGTAACCCAGCTTCTACGAATAGTGTTTACATAACGGGCAATCTCTGCATTCCCACAGAACGATATAAAAGATGTTTGCTCAAGGCAAACGACACAGGCGACAATCACATTTCAGGCTGTTGTTCAGTCGTTGAAGATGCTTCCAGAATGACAATACAGAAGTACGGTAGATTAGGATTACTGTATTCGGAGGTACATAGTTAGCAGTTGGAACATGCACACCTATATATGGTTGTTTATTCAGCTATGATAGCTCAGCTGGAGAAAATTGAAAACGGAATAGGAGAACAGGTTCAAAGTAGGCCCTCCATTCCGATTCACCTTTTAAGATCAAAAATATTCAAGCAGTCAGAAAACTTGTCCCTTTATCCACCTTCTTTACCCAAGAGGTAGAAGAATTGCGTACCTAATGCCGCGCCCGCCTGACTTCGGAAATATGGGACGTTTCTGCCAATGAAGAGATTCGCTGTTTGCATGTGAGACCTAATAACAATAAACTAATGAAAGTGAAGCTTGACGAAGTCCAGTAACAGGAGGGAACAGAAATTCTCGAGACCACCTTCATGCACAATGACGAGTCCGGAATTACGACCCCTCCCTGCCTATGGGATACCTAGTGAATGTGTTTTGGCAACGACAAGAGGTTCACGCTCTTTCTTACCTAAAGTGCAGATCATTTCGCCAACGTACAGTGAGAAGTACAAGAGAGTTGAAAGCGGTCCGAAGGGCGTGGCCGGTGAATGGGCGGGATTTACCTGGTGATACAGGTACTTGGAGTCCTTATTTGGTTACTGTGAACACGTTTCAGCCGACGGAACCCGCTTAGAGCGATTACCAAGGAGGAGTGGAGACTTCTTAACTATTAGGACCCGATATTCATGCCGGGGCCCACCACAAATTCTTGGATGGAATAGGCATGGTCCAACGTTCTGCTGGCGTGTGCTCGCGCAAACAATCTCATCTTTCTAGGGAAAGTGTACATAAGGCCCAGTTTTCTTTCGTAATGCGATGCACGTCCTTTTCACATACGGCAATGAAAACGTGGAGAAAGTGTGAAGAAAAATCACAACTAACCTCAACCGGTTTTCGTCTCCAACTAGCCTCCTTGATCTTCTCCTTGGCTCGACGATTTCGCCGTCGTGCACCGCGTTCCTCGGTCGTCGACAACGCGGCAGCCGCAGCGGCATCAAGGTCCGGACAACTTTTTCGAAGGGGATTGCTGCTTGAATAATACGGTTATGAAAAATCACAAAAAATGCTTGCGAAAATCGGAAGAAAATAGATAATGAAATAATGCTTCGTTTCGCAGAAAGGCATTCAGGGTACAGCATCGTTGTGTGAAACACATGGGGGTGGGGAGGGGGGTCGTACGTGGTCATTGTTGGGAGAGGAGAAGGGTCGTATGTGCCTTTGAGAGAAATTTGCCGCGTTGGGAAAAAAATTTTCCCCGGTTGTTGACTTTTCGCGGTTTTTCCCGTTCACATTGGCTATTCACCCTCCCCCCCCCCCCTCCCTCCCCCGCCGTTGGAAGGAAAATTTTGGATGAAAAACTGGAAAATGTGGGAAATTTTGGAAGAACTGGCAGGGAAGTGGGAACATGTAGAAAAGTGGTAGGTAGGTGCTGCGGAAGGAGGGGGGGTCGTACTGACACCACCCACACACCACGATGCTGTACCCTGAGGGCATTGGAACGACATGAAAGAGTCGAGAAGAAGGGAGGTCCCAACCGCGGTACGGGACTCAGGCCGGTTTAACGACGAGGTAAATATCAGTTTAATAAAAGGGATAAAGAATAAGGTCTTTGCCGTCGATCGATGCTCCTCTGGGATGCGCCACGCATTCTGCTTGCATGCAGAATCGCCGAATGCCTTATTGGATGCGGTGTGGCCTATCCAGTGGCTTGCGGGGGACAGTCGATAGACGAGTATTTAACTTCAGTTCAGTTGCATATAGTATCTTTCTCGATGCTTCCAGCGTACGCCAGCGGCAGTGTCGGGGGAAGGATAGAGTCTAGCGTTACCAGCGTTTTTCCAGCGTTTTCCCATCGCTTGCAGCGACGGGACTAGAGAAGGGCTAGTGAGTATCGAAGGGAGGAGAGTATTTTGTACTCTCCTACATTCAATACTCTCTAGCCCCTCTCTAGCCCCGTCGCTGCAAGCGCTAGCGGGGCTAGAGAGTATTGAAAGTAGGAGAGTACAAAATACTCTCCTCCCTTCCAATACTCTCTAGCCCTCTCTAGCCCCGTCGCTGCAAGCGCTGGGAAAACGCTGGAGAAACGCTGGTGAAGCTAGATCGATAGCTATGCTTCCCGTGCCCTCGCTACGCCAGCGTGCGCTAGCGTACGCTGGTGACGCTGGGAACGCTAGATCGATATCTATCCTTTCCCCGACACTGCCGCTGGCGTACGCTGGAAGCGCTACACGCGCTGCCGCAAAGTATAAACGCAGCTTAGTCGGCCTGGGCGGCCAATACGATATTTGCAGACAGCACAAGTGGTGAACGCTAGCGCTATTCAGATGTAAAAATAAGTGTTCATAGAAGTGAGCATTACCTGGAGTTGTAGTTATAACTATTATTGTTCGTTTCGGCCAGTTCTTTTCGCGGACGTAGAACAGCCGTCGGCGTCGACACAGCCGAGTCGTCAACGGTGATATTTGCTGAAAATCTCCGAGTTTACCCAAGCAAGCAGCGGTATCTCATTTTTAGATTTCTAAAAGGCTTTGGCTTGTTCTCCTTGTTACTGCGAAACGAACGGTAACCCTGCCCTGGAAGACATATCGATTGGTCAGGTCGCGCGCCGCGCAGACCTATCAGTGCGTGCACAGTTTTACGCACACGCATACAAACTAAAATCGCCTCTCAGAAGGGGAATGGTTAGGTGAGGGTGGGATACTTATTCCATCGGTTCATAACGAGAGTGCATTAGTCTCGGTTTTCCGCTACAAACGACCAACAGTGAATTTTCGTGGCGCGCGGCTCGAATAACCCATGACTGTATGTTGTCCCAGGGCGCTCCCGCTCCCTCTTGAATCCGAGAGCTCCCGAATAAGTAATCGAAAGGTGAAATGAATTTTAAAAGATGCCGAAGGGGGGGGGGCAGCTAGCCACAAAGCCACATTCTGCTCGTCTGCACCCTCCTAACGAAATAGTGCTTGCTCAGCGACCTTCCCTCCATCACTGTTAGATTGTACCAAGTTCCTATCACGTTTCAGAGTTTTATTCCACTTTCTCAGCGAAAAAAAAATGCCGTCGAACTGGAGGGGGGGGGGGAGGGAGGGTGGGAGTATATAGCGCACTTGGAACAGGAAAAGCAGAAAAAGCCAACAACTGAGAAGATTTTACTCAGAGGCAAGCGAATGCCAATTCCCTGCCCCTATCCCCTCTTCGCTCGCAGGAAAGCCCAACGTACGACGTGTCCTGATAATCTCGTTGCGACTGACCCCCCCCTCCCCTGAAGTACCCCTACGCCCAACCGCATCTGTGAATACTGAAAATTACTAAAAGAAAGTTACTTTTGTAGACAGCAGCCGTTTCAGACATTTGCCTGGTGCGTCGATGTTCATCGGCGGGAGGTGCTCGTTCGATTTTCACTGGTACCCGGATTTCCACCTGACGCGCAGCCGTCTCACTTTTGCTCCGTGCACCACGCGATTCGGATAGGTTCATGCTCATCGGTCGATCATCCCTGAATCATGACGGTAGGAGACGGTAAACAGCTGCAAGCAGAGTATAAAGCCCGTATACCTTCTCATACAGTCGTGGTCCATACTTGGTCGCGACTGTTTCCGATCACGAAACGTCCAGTTACCGCCGAAAAATGACGGTTTTTTGGTACTAAAAGTAGTGAAGTAGAAAACTACATATTTGGGTGTGTCAAAACAACTCGTCAATTAGGACCAACTTTTTTGAGAAGGAACTCGGCGGGGGCGGTGCGGACACTACAGGAGCTTCCATCATACTGTGATTA